TTACAGTCAGACCTCGATATAATCACCAGGTTGGGAAACAAACATTTGGTGATTATAAAAAAGTGTGACTATATAAAGGTCAAATTTTATGTTTTATAATGTCTAGGCTTAAGAAATAGTGTGACTATAACAAGGTTGTGACTATATCAAGAGTGACTATAATGAGGTCTGACTATATACATAAATGTAATGTATAAAAAATTTATATACAGTCAGACTTCTATATAATCACCAGGTTGAAAACAAATATTTAGTGATTATAAAAAAGTGAGACTATATTAAGATCAAATATTATATGATTTATAATGTCTAGGATTAAGAAATAATGTGACTATAATAAGGTTGTGACTATATCAAGAGTGACTATAATGAGGTCTGACTGTATTATGAATATTAAATATTTTCTGCCAATAATCAGTTACAAATATTTGGTCAAAATCCATTTCTTTTCTTATTTCCAACCAATTATCCACCATTGGATATCTGTTGCATAAATAGTCAATGCCAAATACATATTTCTTATAAACTTTACCAGGCTTTGGCATATATTTGCCCAATGTAACTTAGCATCATCTATTGGTAACAATACTTCCCAGAATTTGTCAAAAAATTCATAAGAATCACCAAGATTATACGCCTACCAATAAGAATCTACTCTGAATGCATCACATTTATAAGATAGACTTATCCAGTAAGGGGAACTTTTAGCAATAGCACATATTAATCTAAGTAGTCTTCAATTAAAGTAGTATGAGGTTATAGGTTGGCATAATTGTAGTGGTGATGCAGGACAGATGACATTAGAGAATTTAAATGGGTAATCTCCTAGTTAGATTATAGATATAGTATATAGTATAGAACCTTTGGGTAAACTACTTAAATAGGCAACCAAAAGTTGCACATATGGCTAAATATACTCTTATTAACCAGGAATATACTACTAAAATATCCAATAAAAATTCACCTTTCTGCAACATTGTAAAGGTAAAAAAAAAAATATAAATTTCATACAACTTTCATATTATTTATATTATTTGTAATTATACTACAAATTTATTAATTTCAATTCTTTTATTATATCTTCAATTCTTTTAGCAATATTTTTAACTATATGATATTTTTTATTAGTATAAACTAACATAAAAAATAGCAGCCAATATAATAATTATATAATTAATTAATTAATATTTGATCAACTATCATTAGCTAAGCAATATTAAGATCATTTTAAACAATTACTTGTAGATTAGCATATTCTTTATCAAAAAGTAAACTAGAAAAAGTATTGTATAATAGAATTTTAAAAGAAGAACAAGGTTTTTTAAAAAAATCCTTATTTTTAATTATGTTAAATAGAATTCTGGAAGTAAAAAAAACACAGTTAAGCAATGATTCTAATTCCGTTTGATCTTGTTGATTAAAGTTACCCAAAGCTAGTTGTTTTATTTCTTATTAGTACTTGATAATTCAGATGCTCATTTGATATTAAATTTCTTAAAGTACAGATTTTTAAATACTATTGCAATTGATACATTTTTTGCCCATTCTTTATTACATGCTTTACACTGGTAACACTCCTTTTCTTTTTTATCAATTCACTTAATATATTAGTTCCACATTTTATTCTGGACCATTTTTAATTTGTTATAAATGAAATATTTCAAACTTGTTTATAAATAGCTTTTAATGAATTGAACAATTATTACAATGAATTGAGCAAACAGCTATTATAATGAATTGAGCAAACAATTATTACAATGAATTGATCAAATAATTATCACATAGCTCTGTATTCAGTACCTGGTGCAACACATATTTTAGAATACTATTTATGTTACAAATGTTATTTAATGCATGTGATTCTTAATTTTTACGATATAAAAATCATGTCATAAAATATTGAACACAGCTCCCGGAGTTATATTAAAAAATTATGTGTGTTCAAAATTACAAATTACATGAAAATTAGCTTACTGAAAATTCATAAAATTACGTAATTTGACAACCCAAGCTGTGCATATTTAATTATACCAACTGGTAAAATGCTGTAATGCCCGTAATTCAGTAATTCTAGTTGCAGCATATCAATATTAAAACATTTCAGAAATAGTAAAAGCACGTATCACAAGCTTGAGTTTTGGGCTTTATGATTTGGAATTTGAACGGGTTTGGGACTTAAATAGTTCCAAATTTACAAATTTAGATTTGGAACAATATTTTGTATAATGCATAAATATTTGGACGGCAACTATAAAGTACGTGACTCAGCCAGGATTTAATCAAGCCATGTACGTATGTGGTTAGAAATAAGCAATTTTTCCATGGATCTTCGTGCCTTTTTTTGTGGTAAAAATTCTAAGTATTATTCCAGTTTTCCCTCGCACAAAAATTAATCGCTAGGAAAATTACTATTTAAAAGCAAGTGCCAAACAGCGATTTCCTAGCAGATGACCAATTACTCGTATTAGACGTAAATGTGATAGAAATATTTTTTACAGAATTCGATTAACCTAATACTGTACATGATAACAGAATAAATTAGAATTTCCGATTGCATAATCTATCCGAACAACAATTTGATAAACCAAAATCGATTAATTAACCCATGATGTATGAATACATTTTCTTGGCAAAGTCAAATCTTTCTAAATTCATCTAAAAAGTCGCACACGATCTGTCTAAATGCGCTCTTAAAATTTTTGGCTAAAATTTATATTCGACCTCTACTCATGTATTTTTTCTTATCGTTCTCCAAATGCACATTGTAGTTCCTACAAGATGCATTTCATGAGGTCTGATTTCCAGGAACGTGCTGAAAAGAATGCCAGGAATATATGAAACGAAATGTAGCGACTTATCGTGTTCGAAATCTTGCATATTATTTGACAGCATGATTTTGTCATGTGAAAATTAACTTTTATCTGGTACAATTATTTAAAATAAGCATAAAGGTCGTTGATCTAAGAAATCAGAACAATTATGAAAAAATGCGTTTGTATTATGTACAAGATTATATGGGCGCTTTTCAATAGAAAAGGGGGAAAAAGTTTTTAGTAACTTTTTTTTAAATTTTAAATTAAAATATCTCAATAACTATGTACTAAATTAAATTTAATAAAATTTTTTTTTTAATTTTATAATTTTATAGAATTAAAATAAAAAAAAAAAATTATTAAATTTAGTTTAATAGTTGTTGAGATATTTTAATTGAAAGTTTAAAAAACTTTTACTTAGAAGAAATCTCCCATGTTGTTTTATATTAAATAAAGATCTAATGCTAACTTTTTCAGTAATTATAAAAGTTTGCCTATCGATCATATCGTATTATTCAATCAGTAACATATATATATTTATATTAATTCGAAATCTTTAACACTAGAGTTCCAAATCCGTCATCCATTTATCCATATCTGAATTTATCCGAATATCTATTTACTATTGATATCCATATAATCCGACAAATATTCGGATAATTATCCAAATAACAATAGTAAACAGAGATAAATAGATAAGCGGATAATGGATAGGAACTCTACATTACACATTTTTTCGTTGGGCTATGCCGGAGATGAATTTTTTATTGAAGTCATAGAAATGATGTCTAGTACATGAAGACTATTAAGCGAGTAATCATCCAAGATTGGCCTGAACGGCAATAACATCCCGGCAAGTTTGCAACCGTTGTTGCGCTGGGAGTGGCGCTGGAACGAGCCGGATGTGATTGAAGAAATGGTGAAATAAAAGAACAAAGAAATGGTAGAATCATGTAGTCGTATCTGGTTAAACTTAAAAAAAAAGTCTTTAAATACATATATAGATAATCTTTAGTAACAAGATCGATTCATAACTAGTACATCGTTTATTAAAGAGATAAAGAATAAATAGTATAAGTAAATTAAAAAGAGCCGTCAACTATCAATAAAGGTAATACACATACAAGGTGAATATAAGCAGCATAAAAACCAAAAATTAATTATAGAGCATAGCATGTAATCGTACGTATCATACGCATACTCTATATCTGTATCTAATATATTGTACATAGTTTTTAAAAACTTGATCGAATAACCTATATTAAGAAAAATATTGAAAAAAATGAACTGTAAATATTATTGTTTGAATTGTTATTATAAATTTTTTTTAAAAAAAATTTAACACTTATTAGCACAAATTACCTTAACCTATAAGACAAAATTGCACCACATCTCTAACTTCTGGATTAATTAATCATTATTACAACAAAATATCATAATCTGTTTTAGTATCAGTATTATAATGATGGTCATTTTTATTTTATTAAACTTTTGTATAGGCTAGACAAAATAGAGAATTGGAAATAATTGTTAGTAATAATATTAATGAACTACTTACATATACATGGCACTTAAAGGAAGTGTTTAAATGAAAAAATCTTACCGATATAACAATAAAATTTATTTAAATATTTAGATTTTATTTTACATGGCTGAGTTGATTTAGTTATAAGTTCAAAAACCTGAAGTCTAATTTTCTTTTAATATTATTCAAATGCAAACAAAAAGCTATCGCATTACTTGTTTTGTACATTTTTTATATAAGCCACATGCTATGCTTGTTAGCTACGCGCAAAATATTTTGATTCACTAACATGGCTCAGTCATTTCAAAGTCTTAGCTTTGACTTTCTCTAGGGTTTCATCTTTACCAGGGTTTCGTCGTTTCGCCAGTTTCGTTTTCGCCGGGTTTAGTTTCGTCTTTCGCCATTTGCCACAAATAATTTGTAATAACCCGATTTTTGAATCCATGCCACTGCTTAGTGGGGTCTGGTTTATCTCGACGGAGAAATCCGGTTGTATTTTGGGAATCAGCAAAATAATTACAACAGTGCTTTCTTTTAGATGCATTTATTGGAATACACACCTAAATGTGTTAAAAGAATTAGATTAGTCTTAATTGAAAAATATGATGAATACGAAGAAATTCAACTTATTAATAGATTAGTTAACTTGTTATGGTATAAGCTTAGCCCTTGCTGTTTACTTGCTTGAGATCAATACTGGCACTATGAAATCCCAGGGGTAACGGTTTAACCATGCCATTAATTACCTTTTCGATGTCGGTTTCAGAATCTTTAACTCAAAAAACTCAAGTTTCACCCTGTCATATTAAAATTTCTGGTTGCTGGTTGTCCTATAAATAATTATTCTGCATCATAAAAATGTTTTTTTCCAATTCAAATCTTTTCTTGATGCTTCGAAGCAGATGGGTGAAATGATAACTGACAAACTACGCATAAGTAGGGTTTTCTTAAGTGCCAACAATGATTTTGTTTAAAAATTTCATAAAACAAACATGTTTTTTTTTTTTACATTGTTATATTGGTTTTTATTATAAGATTCTATTCGTTGAATGTAAAATATCGAAAATATCGAAGGGTTGAAGTTTTTTTTTTTACTGCAACAAGCAATCCTTTATACAGCTTTTCACTAACGCTAAAAAGAAAAAAAATAATTACGCAAAAATTATTCAAAAATTTTTAACTCTAAACAAGAAAAAAGCAAAAAAGGATAATAAAGTAAAAATTACCTATGTTTAATCAAAGACAATCATTGCGTATTTAAAAGGTGTAGGGCTGAATTCTGAGTTTTCATTCGTACTTATCTGTATATCTGTTTGATTTTGGTCTAAATTACAATATATGCAATTCATCAGCTCTTGTACAGCAATCATACGCCACTAGCCGTAACTTGTTGATTAAAAATGTGACAAATTGAAACTTCGCGAATGTAACGTATAATTTAGTTTACAAGTCGCTACTGATGTATATATATCGTAACTTCATTATATGCAGTAACTTATGTTGTCACTAGTACGTACGTACGCACATACAAGATGTCTGTTGAATTTTATCAGTTTTCAGTGTGCTATAAACTTCATTGATAGCTCTCTTGATCAAATTTATAGTGCTGTATATCATCGCTCTTGCAGTTTTATCTAATAAGGAATTACAGTCAATACAAGTTTGAGAAACAAAAAAAATAGAAATGCAATGTGTGAACCTTGTCCAATTGTAATTTGTAGAATTTGATTCTATTTCATCCCAAAAATTTGGACGTCAGGATTACTTTTATTATAATAAAGATCAATATAAGTAAATAAAAATATAAAAAATATAAAATTAATCTGGTGATAGCTGAGCTGACCACACAGACCATAAGATGTGCAAATTCATAAGTTAGGACTTTATAACCTAATCTTATACGATGAAACGCAAATGGCCATCCTAGTCGCATTGAGAAGGTAAAATTAGGTTGTTAACGGCAGTATAAAGTTGTAATTTATTGCTGGGTCTCACGAAAGTAAGTGGAATAATAGTTAAATTTTTTACTAGTAATGTTAGTCAAATTTTTTAATTAATTTTTTTTTTTTTTTTTGCAAAGTTACGCGATTTACGCGTTTTTAGCAGTCAAATGATTGCAGTCATATGATCAGATTGAAACCAGTTTTATTTTTCACATTTTTCACGTGGTAAAGCCGATTAAAATCGGTTTTATCAACGAATTCGACTCCGAACTCTAGATCTATGCGCTTAAATCGGAAGGAAAAAAAAGATCTCTGGCTCTTATTTGGTGAAAAGAAGCTATAAACTTAATTTAACTTTGCGTATTTTCTGTATTGAATTTTTTTTTTTTTTTTTTTTTGTACAAGGTTTGGAACCGCCTAAAATTTTCTTAATCGTTTAATCGTTTAATTTGGCCGACATTAAGATAATTCCGGCCCAACGACCAACATAATTCTGCCCGGAATTATGGAACAACTTTTAAGCGGTTAAACGGTTCCAATCCCTAGTTTAGATTGAAATTAAAATTAAAATAAAACTTAAAATTTGCGAATACGTGATTTGCTATATTTCAAGGGGCTTGTACTAAAGATGCCTGATACAAAGGATTAGTTGCAACCTTTGCGAAGCATCTTTTTGATGAAAAGATGTAAGGTCGCAGAGTCACCAGATCAAAGTCTATGTAACTATCGTTATTAATAAAAAATTAATGTTATCTTTGTAATGTAGATTACGTTATCGTCAAATTTTATATTTAAAACATCACAAGTGTTGCAACCCTAGTTGCACTACAAAAAAAGTTGCAATTATCATTTGGGTAGTGTCTATATTATATTAATAACCTTTCAAAATCACAATATATAATTGTACAAATTTTTTTG